CCCTCCACCCCAAGGCCCTAAATCGGGAACCCCAAAGGGCTTCTCCTTCTAGACAACTCGCAATGAAGGACTAGACCCATACGCCTCCAAGGGCTTACGAGCAACATATCCCCCTAATCATTCTGTTAATGATGTACATAATCTAGACTACCCAAACTAGACATTGTAGTTGGCCCCTAAACCCTGAACCCCAAGCCCTAACCCCTCAATCCCTCACGAGCCTTCAACCCAAAACCTCCGGACTCTTAGCAGCGCTGCGCCTGTCCACTTCTGTTTCCGCGGGCCCACGATCCTTTTCGGCACAGGAGCCCGAACCCAACCCCTAAAGGCTAAACGCCTAACCCGCTTTCGGATTTAGGGTTTAGGGTGGGGTTTTGCGTAAAATTTAGGGACTTGGAGCTTCGAAATTCAGGGACTTGGAGCTTCGGCTATGGGTTTCGACATTTCGCGTTCCGAATTGGGCGGTAGGTGCCTTTGCAAGTGAGTTCTGAGCAGCACGGCCCGCGGCGCAGCAATCTACGCACGGTAAGTTTGGGTTTAGGGTCATCATCCGATCCGACCTAGCAATGACATACGATGTAAGGGTGGGTTGGGAAAGTGTTGCTGATCTGTCTAGATGCAAGGTCTAGAAAACCAGTCTTTATAATTCATATTGTCTGGTTCTTTTTGTACGGCCCCCAAACACTCTTTTGGTGGTCTGGACCCCTTACTTACCAGGTCTTAATAGGGAATGATGGTAACAGGGCCTCCCAAATCCTAAACACTATTCCCGAGGTCCACTTCTAAAATCTCGAGTTCAGGTTAGTAGCCAATGCGGTGTAAACAACGGGTCCAGCTTTTCGCGGAGCTGTCTCAGTGACCAAGGGTTCATGCTGCCACGTCGTCAACCTTGTAGTCCATGAAATGCCAGAAGTCTGTAAGCAACAACAAAGCTCCGACTTTGGTGCAGTGGACATAGAAATGTGCCCGATGGTGCGCGACAGCCGGATTAGGCCAGCTTGCGCAGTGCAGCCAGAGAGCTCACGACACCGAAGATCCAAAAACCCAACCCCCAAAAAACTCCCAAAGCCTCAACCCCTAAAAACCCGAAACCCCCCTTCAGCCTTAAAACCCTAAAGCGCGAGAGCACTGCGCTCGAGAACTACCCCGGGGTCATTCAAATTCGGCTCTCAAGACGTCCAACCCTAAACCCTCAATCCTGAACCCTAAACCGAAGATTAGGGAAGCTTAGGGAAGGAGCGGGAGCCTCGTAAGTAAATACATGGAAGTTTCCCAAAAATTGGGGTGCACTTTTTGGGGGTTCCTTCAACGAGGATTAACGTGTTTTTGGGGGGTTTAGGGTTTCGGGCTTTGGGAAATACCCCATATGAAGCAGGGTATATATTTCTTGTACCCCTAAAAGGAGACCAAGTATATACACTCACCAATATTGAAAAGGAAGCTTATATACACTCACCAAAAACAGAAATATAAACCCTACCCCATATGAGGGAACATTGGGCTGCCAACCTCCCATGGACCTCGAGAAGGGGTTTAGGGTTTAACGAGAGGAGGAGGGACCTGGAGTCGAAGCATCTTCTCCCTCTCTCAGTGTAGGGTTTAGGGTTTAGGGTTTAGGGTTTAGGGTTTAGGGTTTAGGGTTTAGGGTTTAGGGTTTAGGGTTTAGGGTTTAGTATCAAACTCCAGACCCCTACTTGAAGGTTCATGGTGGGGTTTTAAGTAATTTTACTAGGGCTATCGCGTACCTCATAAGCCTCCTAGATCTGCCAAGTGGAGGTGCACTCAAACTCTAAACCCTAAGCCATACACCCTGAACCCTAAACTGACCCTATTTTGGGTTCGGGGTCACGGTTGGAGCCATGAGGAAGATGCTTCAACCGAGGTGCAAGTAGGGTCCAGAATTCAGATCAATCCCCGGTTCGGGCTGGGGGTTTAGGCTTTAGAGTTTAGGGCCTAAACCCCCAAAGCCTGCCAAGTGCGTTCCGAGCTTCAAGGGATTCTGGTACCCCCGCCGGCAAATCTCTGAAACGAGCCTGGGCCGAACGCTGAACGCGAACATCCTACCCTAGGGCCCAGGGTTCAGGGTTTAGCATTCGTGGTTCAAGCTGTAGGTTTGTGGTTCCGGGCTTTAGGGGTGCAGGGGCTTTTGAGTTTAGGGGGCTCGGGTGTGCCCTGATGAAGAGGGTTTGAAGAGGGTTTGGGGATTTAGGGTTTAGGGTTTAGATTGGAGCAACCCCCGCCCCTTCAAGATAACTGCATACTGCCAGTGTTCAGGGTTGCACTGACTGAATGAACAAACAAAGAAGCCCACATTGCCCTGCAGTCTAGCTCGCTATCTGTGGCTACACGTTTACCCTTGTGTGGAGCGGGTGAGGGCTTCCGTGGCTGTTCTTGGGGATTTAGGGTTTCGGGTTTGGGGGTCTAAGGGTTTATCGGGTATCCTGCAACTGTAGTAAGCCTTAAACCTGAATTCTAACTCCTACACCCTGGACTCTGACAGATATTCGATTCAATGTCTCTTTGGGGTTTTGCAGGTTCTGCAAAGCCCCAAAACCCTGAGCCTCCTCCATCATGTACTTCTGGTCCCATTGGCGCGTGGGAAACCCACAGCAGGGCTCAACCACAACAGCATAGGGCTTAGGGTTTGCGGGTTAGGGTTCAGAACATAAGCAGTAGTACCCCGTTGTTGGTTCACGCGATGATACAAAGGGACCTGTCCAGCAAACGACGGCCCACTGGCCCTGAACCCTAAACCAAAAGTCCTAAACCCTGAACCCTAAATGTCCAACACGAGAGTGAGGGGTTAGGGTTTAGGCTTTGGGGTCGGGGTGTGGGGAGTAAACCAGAGCATGCCCCTTAACAACCCTAAACCCTAAACTCTAAACCCCAAACTGCCCCAAACCTTAAACTCTAAACCCCAAACCCTAAACCAAAATCCTTTTTCTGCTTGGGGGGTTCTGTTGTGGGGGTCGTTTGGGATCCTATGAGGAAGGTAAAGAGAGCTGCAGCCTCAACCTCCCGGATCCTGCTTGGGATTTGGTCTCGGGCTTGGGGTTTGTAGCCCGCACCCCAATGCCCAACTTCAATTGAAACCTAGATCCCTGATGATAGACCTTGCAACCCAAGTAGCCTCCAAAACCCTTGAGGGTTTAGGGTCTAGGGTCAGAACCTGAAGTGCTGCTCCAGGCGCGAGGAAAGTGGGGCATCAGCTGGAAGTTGGATTTCCAGGCAGGTGGTTAGCCTTGAGTTCTGGCGGTTTAGGGACTAGGGCCCAGTTTTAGAGCTTCCGGGGTTAGGGTTCAGGTGCTGCGGTCGCTGTTCCGGGTTTAGGGTTTAGGGTTTAGGGTTTAGGGTTTAGGGTTTACGAACAAGGGAGCCAGGGAGCACTTCGGGTATTCGCAGCTTGAGCCAGCATCCAGTGAAACCCATGCGCGATCCATGTTCTGACCGCCCCGTCAGCAAGAGAGCCTAAACTCGAAACCCTAAACCCTGAACCCAAAAACCTAAACTCTAAACCCTAAACCCTAAACGAAGGCCCCTTTGGTGGAATTGTAGGAATCATCCGATGAGGAGTCATCCATGGGCGCGGGTGGTCTGCCCTGGCCTTAGGCTTGGTCTTGGCCCGATTCTTGCCATTGACCTTCGGCGGGACCCCTCGAGTCAAGGAGGACCCTTTGTTTGAGTCTGGACTTAGAGGTTGATTCCAGCACAGCCACCCCAAGGTTTTCAGTGTGAAAGCTTCTTTTCTCCTTGCGGAGCAGGGCCGAATGCCTCATACAGCGCGCAGTGGCCAGGTCTGGCTGTTGAACCAGAATCGCTTGTGGCCGCATGCCCGCCAGACGTCCCAGAGCTGCCACGGCCCCATTTCCGGTGGCAGCGGAGGAGCGGCTGGGATCTTGGAGAGTTGCTAACCAAATTAACCAAACTCATGGATTTTGGGTTTAAGGAGTCGGGGTTTAGGGTTTCGAGGGTAGGAAATTTAAGGTTTAGGTTTCTTCAAGCAAGGGCGGCTAACCCCGACGCGCCTCCGGTTTCCAAGGACTCGTAAGAGAAGGCACTTCTATGTTGGAGCTAAACCCGAACCCTAAACCCTAAACCTCACGCACGACATGAACTTGGGGTAGCAGCTGACAGACCCGGGATCCGCAAGTTCTGCAACGCGGCTGTTGTACACCCCTGAACCGAAGCCATCTTTTGGGAACATTATAGGGTTTATGGGGTTTAGGGTTTAGGGTTTTGGGTTTAGGATTTACTGTAGGGTCTAGGGGTTTAGGGTTTAGGGGTTACGAGTTTTAGGTTTCCGTGGGATTATGGGGCGGTCTATGGGGCTAAAAGGATTTAGGGGCTGAAGGGGCAGCATCCCCCGCGCTCGCCCACAAGCCCAAACAATGAAGGTGCTACGAAAAAGCCCCAAACTCTAAACCCGAAAATGCAGTCCGCAATGCCCAGAGCTGTGGCATTTTAAGCCTTTAGGGTTTATAGTGGTTTAGGGCAGCCCTACCTTAAACCCCAAACCCTAAACCCCAAACCCCAACCCCCAAGACCCTAAACAAACCTTAAACCCGAAACCCTAAATCCTAAACCCTAAACCCTAAATGATAAACCCAACTTTCTGCAAGGCGTCGACGAGATCCGCCCGCAGGCTTTTTGGTCAGAGGAAAACGTGCGCGAGGTCGTGCACACCAGGCGGGGGCCCCGAGGGTCTTCTTTCGGTTGGGGTTCGGTTTCGTTCTCTTTGTTTTGTCATTGGTAGCGGAGCCTAGGCCGCGGTCCTGGGCTAGGCTGGTGGTTCGTTGGTTTGTTTGTCTTGTCTTCCCTTGTTTGTTCTCGTCTTGTTTCGTGGTGGGAGGTGTAGGCAAAGCCTGTGTGCAATGGCTTCGGATGGCCATGTGCCTACTGCCGGGCAAGACAGTGCAGCACCAGATCAGCATGCACCCTCTCTTGACACGAATGTGCCTGCGGCAGATCCTAGTCCTCACATGACCGTTGACGGGCGTCAGGGTGATCCTTGGCGTCATGATGATCCTTGGCGAACTTGGGATCGCTCGCATGGGGCCTGGGGACAGTCTACTTGGCGTAGCGCTGGGTGGTGGACTGGAGATGGCTACTATGGCGGGCGCCAGTGGTGGTATGATGCCTGGGATGATAGGGATGGTGCTAGGCGTCCAAGTGGGGGTCAAGATTCCGGCCATTTTGGCAGGAACAATCAACGTGATGCAACAGATCCGTGGGCCCACTACCAAGGTCCTCCTGAGGGACAGGCCGGTCGTCCTGATGACCAGGCCTCCGATGGCTCGGGCAGAGGCTCGGGTGAATCTCGTGGGAGTGGTGCCAGCGAGGCACAATCGCCAGGTAGTGGTGGCCGATGTGACTACGGAGACCGAGATGCACAGGGCCCAGATAACAATCGTGTTCCTGGTCTTGACAGAGAGCGGAGGGGGAGCCTTGGGGAAACCACTTCCGGGACTTCCACGACCACGCCCCCGGTCCCTACTACGACCTCGAAAGAAGGCCAGGACTTCAAAGGTGGCCTGAGTGAGCGGATGGCTGTGCCGAGCTTTTCGGCAGACAAGACGGGGGATGAGCTTGGCAGCTCAGCCTGCTCGTACCTGAGGCAGATCGATGCCTGGTGCAAGGTGACGAGAACTCCGGCGTCGCAAAGAGCCCTCTTGCTTTACCAGAATCTTAGCGGAAGAGCGTGGGTGGAGTCTGAAGAGCTCAGTGTCGAGTTGTTGGCCTCCGAGTACGGCGTGCAGGAGTTTAAGAGATGGATCCAGGAAAGGTACCAGGAGATCGAGGTGTCGAAGATAGCCGAGGCCTTGACTCAGTTCTTCAAGAAGCTGAGACGTGAAGGAGGTCAGAGTATCCGTGAGTTCAACTCAGCATTCGACCGTGGCCACACCCGCTTATTGGAGATCGACTGTCGCCTCCCTGAAGTCGCAAAGGCCTGGGCGTACTTGAATGCCCTCGGCCTCACGAGTGCAGAGGAACTTGCCCTCCTTGCTTCCGTGGGCAATGAGTACAATACGGCAAAGTTGCAGAAGGCAGCAGTCCTCCACGAGAAGTCCTTTAAGCCCCCGTGGTTCGTGAGGCGCAACGGCAACGGCAATCCTGATGGGGGCAAAGGAAAACCTGTGCGAGGTGCCTTCTTGACCGAGATTGACGAGGACGACATTGCCGAGGAGGAGACAGAGCACCTGATGACCGAGGAAGAGGCCTCTGAGATGCACGAGGCGTTCATGGCTCAGGAGTCAGCCAAGGCCCGGTACAGGGAGATCACGAAGGCTCGGGGAGTGGACCCTAGTTTTCTTCGCAAGGATGGTTCCAGGAACGAAGCCAGCAACAAGGATACTCCTGAGGCCAGGTTGCAGCTTGCCAAAAGTCGCTCGTATTGTGCTGGATGCCGCCGCAGGGGGCACTGGCACAAAGACCCAGAGTGCCCAATGAATCAGCCTGGAGGCCAGATGACGAAGCCTGGTGGTTCCTCGGGCGCCAAGGACAGCTCCAAGGAGGCGTTTGTGGTGCAGGTTGCCTATGAGGTCGGCTACATGGGTGGTCAGGGCTTGGTCGCCATCACCGACTCCGCATGCAGTAAATCTGTGGCGGGACAGGCGTGGCTCCAGAAGTACATGTTGGCTGGCCGGGAAGCGGGCCTTGAGATGCAGTTCATCGACACCCAGGACGACTTCAGGTTCGGGGCCTCCAAGCTTTTCCGGGCTACCTTCACTGCCACGATTGCGATCTTCGTTGGTGGACGCGGCTTCTTGGTCAGGGCTTCCATCGTCCAGGGAGAGGTCCCCCTTCTCCTGTCAAGAAACGTCCTGAGCAAGATTGGCATGCTTTATGATGTTGAAGGACACAGCGCCTCGTTTCGTCACCTTGGAGTACAAGATCTCAAGCTCCTCACGACGGAAAATGGACATCCGGCTATTCCCGTACGAGTGAAAGGGCTCCCGACGTTTGCTCTCCCAACGCCCCAGGAGTGGGCCGGGGACGAAGTGCGACTCCTTCCTTCCAGCGAGTCTCATGCCGCATACATGACCATGACATGTGAGAGTAGTGAGAGGGCCTCTGCATCAACCTTTGCTACTTCCAGGAGCTGTGAGTCAGCATGTGTTGCCGATGGAGGTGCCGATCGGAACCTCTCCCAGCCCTTCGAGACTATCTTTTATCCGAAGAAGTTATCGCCCTTTGTCTTCAACTTCTTGAGTGCCGAGGCTTTGAACACTGATGTTTTCATGCGTTGGTGGAGTGAGACCAAGCTTGCAAAGGACTTCTGGATAGAAACGGCTTCTTCTTTCATACGAATACACGTCATTCCCCGGAAAGCACTGTTCTCCCCCGATGCATGGCACACAAGTCAGAGCAACGTTCGAGATAAACTCCTCCACAACGTCGGGTCGTTCCGAAGCACCACTGCTATAGCATGTCAGTCCTTGCAACTCCTTCCGAGTCGACATGACGCATGGCAGAGTTCACCCGAGTCAGCCCATTCAGCTCTTTGGGTCGGTAGGACTGTGTTCCCTCGTACCCCTTTTCAGAGCAGCAGTTCGGAACATGTCGTCGCAGAAGGCCAAGACGCTCTGGAACATGAGTCGGAGCGAGTTGGTAGAAGAAGCTCATCGGCTGGAAGTGCCGATACACACTACATGGGGCAAGGAAGAGATACGTCAGCTGGTGTCAGAGAAGAGAAAGGAACTACATGGTCCATCCAGCGTCCCGAGAGGTCTCTCTTCAATGACGATGCCCGAGCTAGTCAAGAAGATGGACGAGCTGCAGATCCCGCTTCCACCGAAGCCCACCCGAGGACTCCTTCAGAGGATCATACGAGACTCGACAAGAGATCTGTCGGAACAGATCGTGACGTTCGGGAGGTACAAGAACTTGCTCTTCAGAGAACTCCCACATTCGTATCTTCGCTGGAGTCTTCAGGAGACAGCAGCGCAGGGATCGGGGGCGTCCCACGAGTTGAGGCAGCTAGCCAACTTTGCCCAGAAGGTCCTCAATCCTCAGAAGGAGACGTACCACGACCCAGAGATGAGTGCTGCAATCCCTTACCAACCGGATCCAGAGGAGACGAGTTCGACCTCAACGAAGTGGTCTTTGGTGACGGGGACTTCGGAGGCCATGACAAGCGGGTACAATCAGGGCAAGAACCATGTCCCGACAGCGAAGCAGATGGGAGCCAAGCGCGGCATCGAATCCGAGGAGAGCAAGATGGCCCAGGACACTCCCCCTGGAGGTACGAGAGGAACTCGAGGCACTAACCACCAGGATCGCCCTGCTCAAGGAGAAGCATGGAATGTGATTCTCTCGTGTGATGTTGACCTCGACAACGACGCTAGTGCCGAAGGGGTCCTAGATGTGTGCGGTATGGAGGCCAATGCTACCGGGGCCCCTGAAACCTTCTATGAGTGTCGAGAGTCCAGTGCCGAAGAGCTACCTCTTGAAGTCGTTGCACAAGACCTTTTGCGCACCAAGGATTACAGCTTCGAGAGTTGTGAAAAACTGGCCCGCCGAGTGTGTGAACATGCTAGGAACAGTAGACGAAGGCAAGCTCATGGGGAACAGGGGAGCTCGATTGCTTTTGGGGCCTATAGTCATGGTAACTTCCACGGCATCATTAAGAAGACCTTCGACCATGTCTATGTTGTGCGCTACATGAATGCTTTCTTGCGGGCACATGGGGCCAAGGGTACCTGGAGTTCCCTCCAGATCAATGTGAACTGTCGTCCTCTTGTACATCGTGATCAGCACAACCATAGCGACACCCTTGCAAGCACCATCTCCTTCGGAAATTTCCGCGGCGGTCGTCTGTGGATAGAAACGGATCCTGAAGCCCAGGTGCCAGAGATCGGTGTCCCCCACATTATGTCAGATGGCGAAGGGCGTGCTCTTTCAGGACACCTTGTCGACACACGTGCGCTCGTGAAGTTCGATGGTCGTCGTAAACATGGCGTAGAAGAGTGGGAAGGGGATCGTATCAGCATTACTGCTTACACAACACGTGGGGTGTCGCAACTGGCACGACAAGAACGGGACATGCTGAGAAGTTTTGGTTTCCCCGTTGGGCAGGATACCCCCACGAAGATCACCGTTGAGGACAAATCCTGGAAAAACGAACACGCCCGGCGACCCAAGAAGAGCATCAGAAGACAGATCATGCGAGGGGCTAGCCGAGCAAGTGCACTGTTGACCTTAAGTATGACGGCAGCTTCGAGTTACGTCGCCGAGGTAATGCTTCCGAGTTCATCCCCAGACAGACCATCAATCCTGGAAATTGGAGATTTCGCTGCTACCTACACCCTTGCAGGAAACGGCAGCTCAGTCATAGAACCGGTCTCGTGGGGGGATTTTGTCAACGATTCAGATTGCCAGAGAGTTCTCGAAACCATACATGCCCTACACCCATGTGTTGTCTGGATTCGAGGTCACGACGAGATCACCGATGCCAAGTCCAACGAAATCGCATCCCAGGTCTTCTCCGCTGCGTTGAATCAGATCCTCTTGGGGGGTATATTCGTTCTCAGCGGTAACAAAGAACACATGCTGTGGAGAGACCATGCCTTCAACAGCTTGCTTAACATGTATGAGACCCAGTTAGATGTCGACGCTCAAGGCTTTCAAGTGCTTCGTGTTGCGCAACCTGGAGTTCTGCAGCAAGGGCCTCATTCGGTATATGTCGGAGAGATCGAACAGCAGGATCCCGAAGGCGAACAACCCCAAGCTGTACCTCCTGAAAGACTAGATGCCGCAAGGACTAGTAACATCAAGTTTGACGCTCAGGTCCCCAAGCCCGTTCAGGCTTCCCTTGGTCGACTTCATCAGAACCTCGGCCACCCAAGCAACCATGACCTAGCGAGACATTTGAGACTTGCTGGAGCTGAAGAACATGTCATACAAGCATGCAAACATCTGCGTTGTCAGGTTTGTGATCGTGCTAAGCAATCAGCTTCAGCGAGGCCTGCGTGTTTGCCATCTTTGTTGGATTTCAACCAGCTCGTGAGCGTCGACGTTTTCACAGTTTTCGATGCAGCCCAGGTGAAACATTCGTTGCTGTCCGTCATAGACCATGCTACAACGTTCCATCTTGTCGGAGAGCTTGAAGGGCATTCTGCCGAAGCCTTTGAGCGGAAGTTCACTCAGATGTGGGGATCTGTTTTTGGGGCACGAGGAACAATTGCTGCAGACTTGGAAACTGGTCTACAGGCCGGGCTGGCGAACTATGCTGAATTCCATGGATGCCGGCTTCGCCCCGCTGCAGGCCAGGCCCATTGGCAGCAAGGACTCATAAAGCGTCATGGGCTCTGGTATCAGGCCATGCTCAGAAAAGTCATAGATGAGAAGTCCATCGACGCTAGCGACCTTTACTATGCCTTGCAAGCAGTGAACTCAGCTAAGAACGAGCTGCGCCGGAGACATGGTTTCTCACCAACCCAAGCTGTGTTCGGAAAAGATCCCAAAATCCCAGGAGAACTGTGCGCTGGCGATGACGAAGAACGATACCTGGAAATACTTTCACATGATCGCCAACGACAACGGGAGATGCATATTCGTGCCTCGGCCAGGATCGCCTTTTACAGAACACAACTTGATTCGAAGCTTCGTCGTGCACTTATCCAGCGGGCTCGAGTTAAGCGTGGAGGGTACTGCGTCGGGGAGTTGGTGTGCTTTTTCAGAGTTGACAAAGGAGGGACAAAGTCCAACTTCAAACGAGGTAAGTGGCGGGGGCCCGGAACGATCATTGGACATGAAGGTGGTAACTGGTGGGTTTCTTTTGGTGGGCGGTGTCATCTTGTTGCTGAAGAACATCTCCGTCCTAGCACTTCTGAAGAGCTTGGAGAAATCCTAACCACCAGGATTGCCCGCGATGATCTTGAACGACTTCTTAACCTAGATCCCGATGACCCCGCTACGTATGAAGATGAAGATCATGCTGACGACATTGACGCAGACGAAGGACAAGAACAACTTGAGGGTGATGAAATGGATTTTCAGTTCGATCTCGAACCCGAGGATTTGAAAGATGAACTCACTGCAGAAGATAGGCCTACCAGCGAGCGACGAGGACTCGAAGCTCCTGTACCTCCTCCTGTCCCCAAGAGAGTTAGGAAGAAAGGGCCTGGAGTCCAGTCGGTTCACATGTTAAAACAATGCCGTACAGCCAGGTCCCTCGAAAAACAATACGAGAAGGAGATCCCCTGGGCAGTAATCCCACCAGAACAACATAGTGCCTTCCGACAAGCAGAGGAGAAACAGTACGACGAACACATCAAGTATCAGGCCCTGGAGCCTTTGTCGCTCGAAGAAAGTGCTCGTGTTCGTGAGTGTGTGGACAAAAGTCGTATCCTCTCTTCAAGGTTTGCCTACAAAGACAAGAACTGGTCCCGGCGGAAGCTTGATTCTAGTCTTCCTTGGAAACCGAAGGCGAGGATCGTCGTGTCTGGACACCGCGATCCAGATATCGGTCTCCTAGACACCGACGCGCCTACCATCAACAGACTATCGGTGCTCACCATCATGCAGCTTGTAGCAAGTCGGAGGCAATCTCATGGGTGGGAGGCATCAGCAGGTGACATTACTGCAGCTTTTCTCAACGGAGATGCTCTGGAAAGGGTCTTGTATCTCAGACAGCCCCGTTCAGGTCTTGCTTCTCTACATCCAGACCAACTGCTACGAATCACCAAAGGTATCTTTGGCGTTCCTGACAGTCCTCGCAAATGGTGGAGGCGCTTCCGAAAGGACATGTTAGCAGTGCGGCTAAGTGTAGAGGGCGTTGAGTACAAGTTTGTGCAGAATGCGCTTGACCCTTGCCTTTTTCAGCTTGTTCCGTCCGATAATGAAGCTAGCGAACCGGCAGCATATGCCGGAGTACATGTCGATGACATCCTGGTTGCTGGCGACAAGAAGATGTCCGAAGCTATCCGCAATGCCCTCTCGAGCATCTTCCCAGTCGACGACTGGGAGATCAACAGCTTCGACTACATTGGAAGCCACATCGAGGTGAATGACTCAGGTGTCTTCATCAGTCAAGAGGCGTATGCTGGAGGGCGACTGTTCCAAATCGACATCGGCAAGGGGCAGGAAGATGAAGAGCCTGCTTCTGAAGAACAACGAATCGACAACCAGTCTCTCATCGGCGCCCTTTCCTGGCTTGGATCCCAGAGTCGTCCTGATATTCAATGCTCAGTTTCGCTTGCACAACAACTCCAAAAGAACCCAAGCGTTGCTGACCTGAAGTTCACCAACCAGATAGCGCGACGAGCGTGGGATCATCGAGACAAAGGGATTTGGCTACGACCTTTGAAACTTGAGAGCCTAGAGTTCTTAGTGTACCACGACTCGGCATGGGCGAATGCAGAGCTCACAGGTGAGGATGGTTTCCGCCTCGAGTACGAGGACCATGTCAGCGGCGTCATGAAGAATACACCTTTTGACATCAAAGAAAGAAAGGCCAAACGGGCGAATTCCAAGGTCGCCAGCCAGTTCGGAATCCTCATCTTCTTGACCGATGGAGAGCAGTACTCAGCTGGAGGAGGCGTAGGAAGCATCCTTGACTGGAAGAGTTCGGCAAACCCTAGGGTGTGTCGCTCAACGTTCGGGGCTGAAACCACAGGCTGTTCCGAGGCCATCGAGATGGGGCAGTATGTGAGATCCTTTGTGCAAACAGTGCTGCGCGGCCGCCTCCAACGTGTACAGGACTTGAGCGGCAGTCAGCTGAAGTGCATCACGGATTGCAAATCACTATTCGACCATTTGCATCGAGAAGGCATCCCAAGGATCCCTTCAGACAAACGTCTAGCCATAGATCTCGCTGCGTTGAGGCAATATCTGTGTGAAGAGCAAGCCAATGGCAAACCTCCACTCTTTTGGGTCCCCACCGAGTTCCAACTTGCTGATATCCTTACCAAACCTAAGTGTGCTGATTCATGGTGGGCGACCGTGTGGGGAGCAGTGAGACTTCCATTTATTTCCAAGGATGCGACGAAGCATCGTTGAAGGGGGGAAGAGAATTTTTTAAGCAGTGATAAACCCAACTTTCTGCAAGGCGTCGACGAGATCCGCCCGCAGGCTTTTGGTCAGAGGAAAACGTGCGCGAGGTCGTGCACACCAGGCGGGGGCCCCGAGGGTCTTCTTTCGGTTGGGGTTCGGTTTCGTTCTCTTTGTTTTGTCACTAAACCCTAAACCCCGAAACCCTAAATCCTAAACCATAAAACCTCTCAAGGGCGGCCCGGAAGCAGGGACAACTGCAGCGAGATGACGTCGCGGCGTTCTGGGCTTTTGTGGAGGCTTAAGAATCAGAGAGGAGGCATCCATTGCACCCTATATAACCCCTAAACCCTAAACCCTAAACCCTAAACCCTATCAACCCTATGAACCCTAAGCTCGCCAAGCTTGCTGGACGGGGGAAAAGTCGAGTCAGCAAGATGCGTTTTCGAGCTTACGGGCCCGAACGTGTGGGTTTAGGGTTTAAGTTTAGGGGGTAGGCATCGCAGTGGCTTTCAAGAAGACGATGATTGTAATGGAAATAACCTGGCCAGTGCATTCCCATGCTCAAAAAACATTCCCTATAGCCCCTAGACCCTAAACCATGAACCCTAAACCCTGAAACCTGCAACCCTGAAACCCCAAGAGCCACTAAGATCCACTACGGCCTAGGACTCCGAGCAAAAAACTGGCCTCCCTTGCGCTGAATCCAGGCTTGCTTCCTAGGTACTAGAACGCTGAACGCTGATCCCTTTACCCTGGGTTAGGGTTTAGGGTTTAGGGTTTAGGGTTTAGGGTTTAGGGTTTAGGGTTTAGGGTTTAGGGTTTAGGGTTTAGGGTTTAGGGTTTAGGGTTTAGGGTTTAGGGTTTAGGGTTTAGGGTTTGGGACTGGCAGGTGCTCATGTGCGAAATGACCCGGTTAAGGTATTTGCCCTTCTGATGATCCTAGTCCTCGTCAACGCCCAGCGCCTTATTTTGGTAGGTTGCAAAAGAATCCTGCAAGGTGGCTTTGTTCCAATAACATACCAAAGGTTTGGGCCTTTTAGCCCCTCAACCCTAAACCCTAAAGCCTAAACCCCAGACCCTGACCCTAAACTAAAACCCTAAGCTTGCCTACGCCCGAAGCCCAAAACCCTACATGCAAAGGGTTTGGAGTTAAGGGTTTTCTTACTGTTTCTTGGCAGGGGAAAGAGGGAAGGGAACTAGGTACCTTAGAGAACGGCTGAAAGGGGTTCTTAGTGGGGGGGGCATGAAGGAATTAGGTAGACTAAGCCCTAAACCACCCACCCACACACACACAACAAAACCGCTTTTTAGAGTTTAGGGTTAAATGAACCTAAGCACTGTCGCATGCTTCGTAGCCCAGCAACCCCATCCCGTTTTCTGGGTTGGTTATTTTATCAGGGAACCCTGAACCAACAAAATGGCCAAAACCCTAAACCCTAAACCCTGAACCCTAAACCCCAAACCCTAAACCTAAACCCTAAACCCTAGACCCTAAACCCGAAACCCTAAACCCTGAACCCTAAACCCTGAACCCTAAGCCCTGAACCCTGAACCCTAAACCCTAAGGTCTTGGCCTGTCGGCTCCGCGCCGCTTACGAACACGGCTGGACCCGGCGGGATCCAGACCTGGCAGTGGGGAGGCGAAGTATGCAAACGAACTCAGAGCCCTACATTTGGGTTTAGGGTTTAGGGTTTAGGGTTTAGGGTTTAGGCTTTAGGGTTTAGGGTTTAGGGTTTAGGGTTCAGGGTTTAAGGTTTAGGGTTTAGGGTTTAGGGTTTAGGGAACCCGAAACCGTTTTAGGGTGCAGGACTTTGGGGCTTAGGGGGCTGAGCCTTTGAAAAAGGTCAAGTGTCGTGTGGCGAGCGGCTGGCTCCTGACTTCAATTAAGCCCTAGACCCTAAGCCCGAAACCCTAAACATTGAAGAGTTCCAGCCCATTGGTCTGACTGAGGCGGAACCGCAGCCACGCCGAGTCCCATAGCAAGCAGCTAGCCCTCAGAAACAAGTATTTAAGAAACCCTAAACCCTGAACCCGAAAACCCCTGATAGTCATCGGTGCGGCACGTGATCCCCCCGAGCACCTCCAGGAAATGCGCGAGCCGATGCAGAACAGTGACGCCAGGCACACAACCCTAAATCCCTAAAAACCTCGAAGCTCTAAAGCCCTCTCAACCCTTGCAACCATACCAGAAACCCTAAAGCCCTAAATCCTCGAAGCCTCAACCCCAACACCGGCAAGCCCCAAAGCCCCAAAAGCCTCGAAGCCCTAAAGCCTAAAGCCCAACAGCCCTCGAGAACTTCAGATTCCTAAGCCCTAATGCCTGGACCCGAAACCCTAAACCCTTAAACCCTAACCCTAAACCCTAAACCCCAAACCCCAATTATGGATGTAGTTGCGGGTCTTACGTGCCCAGTAGGGCCTGTGTCTTCCGCGGCGTCGCGATGGAGCGGAAGGAGTCGAAGCACACCTCGACACTCTTGGAATTTAGCCCCTAAACCCTAAACCCTAAACCCTAAACCCTAAACCCTAAACCCTAAACCCTAAACCCTAACCCCCCCCCCCCAAAACCCTAAACCCTAAACCCTAAACCCTAAACCGTAAACCCTAAACCCTAAACCCTAAACCCTAAACCCTAAACCCTAACCCTAAACCCTAAACCCTCCTGGCTCCGAACTCTGTGGCTGTGCACAAAAACGATCCCTACTTGGAGGACCAGGGGGGGGCTTAGCAAACAAACCTGAGGTTGCCCTACTTCATACTCCTACACAATCAGGGTTTAGGGTTTAGGGTTTAGGGTTGAGGGTTTCAGGTTACTTAATGAGTCCCTCGATCCTCCTCAAAAAAGTGCTAGCACCAAGCTAGTTGTAAACCGTAAGCCCCTAAATCCTAAACCCTAAACTCCTAAACCCAACATCTTACACCCTAAGAAATCGAAGCCCGACACCCGCAATCCCCATCGGACTAAACACCGCTTATCAAAGATGCGCTCTTGGCATTTATGGCAGCTCTTGCAGTCCACTTGGCAGCCATCTGTCGTACGCTGTGGCATGGTACACATGGGTATTTCCCCGAGTTCCTAAACAACCCTGAACCCTGAAGTCCCTAAGCCTCCTACGCCTTGAGCTCCCTGAGCCTCCTAAACCCTAAACCCCTTGAAGCCCTTGAACCCAAAAGTTGGTTCGGGCTGGTGTAACTGAACCTTAGTCCGGGTGAGCTACATAAGGCCACGGTTTGCCTTGGAAGCCTGGTTGCTCTTTAGAGTTCAAACGCTGGGGCTGTAGGGGTTTAGGGCTTCAGGGTTCAGGCCTTCAGGAGTTAAGGGCTTCAGGGGTAAAGGCCCTTCGGGCGTTAGGGCTCACAAAAGAGGAAACACAGCCCCAGATCATGGTCTACCGGCTGTCACGGTCCCCGGCTCGGTACTGTTTTGGAGTACCAGGGTTTGAGTTTGGGGTTTCGGGCCTGCTGCAAAAGGCATGCCTTCGCTGTTCGGGTTTAGGGTGTGTGGGGGCCTAAAAGGGATGCAGAAAGGCAATGTACAAAAACAAAAAAAAGAGAAAAACACCTGAGAGAAAGCTGACCCTAAAAACGCATGTGTTGCTGGGGCCCTGGACACTCCAGGATTCGTGGTTGAACTCCTCGTGTCCAGAAGCCCACGCCTGAGGGCAGAATTTGGGGCATTTAGGGCCTAAACGCGAAACCCCAAACCCGAAACCCTAGACCCTAAACCCTAAACCCTAAACCGCAAACCCTAAACCCTCCTAAGGGTTTGGGCCTCAAGGTTGGGGTCTGAGGTGTGGAGCTGCGACCTCGCACCTAAGCCCTGGGAAGGGGTGGATGCTCCTTGTGTTCCATTACTTGTTGTGTTTGCTGTTTAGGGTTTAGGGTTTAAGGTTTAGGGTATTCTTTGTATGGGAGGGGGGAAGGCGAGGCCTCTATTTTTCGGAGGAACACCAATAATTTCTCTGAATTTCAAAAAGGAACCCTCCCTCTATTTCCTCTAAACCTCTACTGCCTCTGTGTTTGAAAAGGAAACTTCTCCTTCCCCTACGCTTTAACCGGCCTCTGTCATTCAAAAGGATAGCCTTCATTTCCTCTATGTTTGAAAGCATATTTCTTCTACATATTCTCCTTACACCTCTATATCCTCGTGTTTTCTCGTCCAACTAGAGGATTCGTATGCTTTTCGAAGGAACTTGCATGGCCTCAAAAAACAAGGGGCCATTTTCAAAAACAATGCTCGCATGATAAGTTTGGAAAAGGCTCATCTGTGTTTAGAAGGAATGTCCATTGATGGCATCACATGCTTTGAAGCAGGTTTGCACAGCTGGAACACAAAAACACGGGAATAGAAGAACACGCCCACCCTGAGAAGGGTAGTGAGGGCACTCTGCCATTTTTGAAGACTAATCGGGGAGAGAGTTCACCTAAACCCTAAACCCTAAACCCTCAACCCTGAACCCTAACCCTAAAACCTAAACCCGGTCCTAAACAAACCCTAAGCCCTAGATCAAACTTCCTTGAGGATCGATGTAAGGACTTCTGCCATCGGGCTCTAAAGCTGGGTGTCTTTTGGGTCCTAAACCCTTAACCCTATACCCTAAACCCTGAAATACTTGACCAAACCCTAAACCCTAAGTGCCCTTAATACCCTAAATACACATAAATGCCCTAAATACCCTTAATGCCCTGACTACCCTAAATGCCCTAAATACCCTTAATACCCTAAATACCCTAAATGCGGCTTTCAAAAACAATGCACGCATGATAAGTTTGGAAAAGGCTCATCTGTGTTTAGAAGGAATGTCCATTGATGGCGTCACATGCTTTGAAGCAGGTTTGCACAGCTGGAACACAAGAACACGGGAATAGAAGAACACGCCCACCCTGAGAAGGGTAGTGCGGGCACTCTGCCATTTTTGAAGACTAATCGGGGAGAGAGTTCACCTAAACCCTAAACCCTAAAGCCTAAACCCTGAACCCTCACCCTAAAACCTAAACCCGATCCTAAACAAACCCTAAGCCCTAGATCAAACTTCCTTGAGGATCGATGTAAGGACTTCTCCCATCGGGCTCTAAAGCTGGGTGTCTTTTGGGTCCTAAACCCTTAACCCTATACCCTAAACCCTGAAATACTTGACCAAACCCTAAACCCTAAGTGCCCTTAATACCCTAAATACACATAAATGCCCTAAATACCCTTAATGCCCTGACTACCCTAAATGCCCTAAATACCCTTAATACCCTAAATACCCTAAATGCGGCTTTCAAAAACAATGCACGCATGATAAGTTTGGAAAAGGCTCATCTGTGTTTAGAAGGAATGTCCATTGATGGCGTCACATGCTTTGAAGCAGGTTTGCACAGCTGGAACACAAGAACACGGGAATAGAAGAACACGCCCACCCTGAGAAGGGTAGTGCGGGCACTCTGCCATTTTTGAAGACTAATCGGGGAGAGAGTTCACCTAAACCCTAAACCCTAAAGCCTAAACCCTGAACCCTCACCCTAAAACCTAAACCCGATCCTAAACAAACCCTAAGCCCTAGATCAAACTTCCTTGAGGATCGATGTAAGGACTTCTCCCATCGGGCTCTAAAGCTGGGTGTCTTTTGGGTCCTAAACCCTTAACCCTATACCCTAAACCCTGAAATACTTGACCAAACCCTAAACCCTAAGTGCCCTTAATACCCTAAATACACATAAATGCCCTAAATACCCTAAATACCCTAAATACCCTAACTACCCTAAATGCCCTAAATACCCTTAATACCCTCAATACCCTAAATGCCCTAAATACCCTTAATACCCTAAATACCCTAAATGCCCTAAATACCCTAAATACCCTAAATACCCTAAATGCCCTACACCCGAACCAGAGCGTGGGCCGCCTTGATGCTCAGCACGTCTTTGTCCTGGTAGTTTGAGCCGTAGACCTCGGAGGAGGCTGCAAGGATTCTGTGGGGTTTAGGGTTTAGGGTTTAGGGTTTAGAGCACGAGGTTTGCGGCGGAGGGCTTGGGGTTCAGGGTTTGGGATTTCGGTTTCGGCGGCTCAAGGGCTTCTTACATAAACCATTCACAAAGTTCCATAAGCCCCTACGCTACCCTACCCCCTGAAATCGAACACTTGCACCCAAGCCACATACTGCGTGTTCGCTTGCAGCTTGAGCTGGGACAGCGGGTAGAAACCTGACAGTTGTGGGATCTTGCCTGGTGTGACGT